GGTTATGTTCAACTAAGGCAAAAGTTTGTCTTTTACTCCGAAAGAGAAGGATAAAGGTGCCCAAGAAAGGCTCTTGCACTCGAGCTGTTTTGGAGTAAAATTTGGGTCTCTTTTTCTTTCAAAGTAAATATTAGGTTTTGACAAAATAAGTAATTTTGGCCCTATTTGAGAATGATTTTTCACCCCCCAAAAATTGATTTTGACTGTTATTTCATTATTTCAGTCGTAATTTTTGACTTCTTCTCTCATAGGTGGCCTTCACTTTTCTTATAACGATAAAAAAATTAATTCTTAAAATCACTATCGAACATGCCCTTAAAGTGAGTTTGACTTAATTTTAAGCAGATCAAACATATCTAGATGACACCCTTCTGGAATGGAGAACAACTGTGACTTGACCAAACAAGAATATAATGCAGTCCATATCTATGTCATTCATAATGTCATTTGACTAACGTATAAAACTACTATTTAGAATTTAATTAATATCTTCTCGATAAAAATAAATAAATAAATTGTTGCCAGGATTTTCTTGAGTAATCTGTGGACGGTGAAATTTGAAATTAAGAAATTAAATTGGAATTTAGCTTTGGTTTGATTTTCATTTTTTATTATTATTTATTTTTAACAACACATTTCTCTGATAAATAATTTTACTTGTAAATTTAAAATCTTACTTTTTAGTCGTACATTTTTCAACAAAATTACTATTACAAAATTTATGTTTCCAATTATTGGGGCACGAACAAATTCTTAGAAAATTTCCAATGATAATGTAAAATTGAGTATAAATTGACATCTTTAGTTATATCTAAATTCAAATTGTGCTTCAATGCAAAGATCTCAAAAATGGGATGCAAGTGGGCTTGTAGTTTTTTGGCCTTTTATGTTTTCCACAAGTACATGTAAAAAAGATATGAAACCTCATCTCTTTTTACATTTTCGGTCGGAAAAATGCATTTTGCATTTCCTTTGTATCTTTTTATCGGATAAGTTCCTGATCACTTATAAATTTCAAATCAAAATTAAGACCTAATTTATAATACCATTGAAGATACTCTTAATAATTCAATTGAGACATTGAAAGTTTAGTGACCATTTATAACTGGCTTTTTCCAAATGTTTCTTAGTGCATTTTCAAAATGGTATCTAATGGATGAGATAACATTTTGTTAAGTGATGACTCGAAATATTTAAGGTTCAATGAAACTGAGAAATATTTTGAAAAAGACCGTGGCAATTCGAAAAACTAGAGGATAAATTCATTAAAAATTGATTGACAATTGAGATATTTAACTTTTAATTTGATGGGTCTAAAACAAATTTTGAGTCCAAAATTTATGAGATTGGATATAATAAGAAAAAATTGATAAATATAAGAAATGCGTGATACGCAGCATTAATCAATCAAAAAATATTGGTTGTACTACATGTACATAATAAATTACATACTGGTTTACCAACAGAAGGTGTAGCGAGATTTAATTGGATTAAAATATCATTAATGAAAAAACTTCCCCACTTTTATTTTGACACCTCATCATTATATTAAGCATTATACAAATAATAATGTACAACAAGCGTTTTCCCAAAAAAACATAGATAGATTCCTTCGTTATTTCAAGATTTATTCCATGAAATTATAGAATTCTTTCTCATCCCCACCACCTTATTTTTCTAAGGGGAAAGATTATAATTATATTTTCCATCATCTTTACCATGCAAAAGAGTAGACCAAAAACTAAAATTAAATAAAATTTTGTAAGCGGAAGTACTACATGCACACAATAAATTCATTGATATTTATGCTGTCTGACCTCCTTTGTTCTTTTGCTCGAAAATACGGTAAAACAATAACAAAAACTTAAAATTCTAATCATCGTCATGCTATTTTTAAAAGTATGTGACGATTATTTAAACATGATCTACATGGACTATTTTTCTAAGTTTTAATAATTGCATATGTTTATAAAATTTCACTTGGAGAGATCTCGGTTGTTCTTGATGAAAGGAGTTCATAGCCTACTCCTAATGGGGACATGACATGGTCATAGGCACGAGAACTAGGAATAAGCCCCAAGGATGGGAGTACGCTGAATTTTGTTAAGTAGGCATTGCACAAGTGTGTCGACAATGGTGGAAGACACGATTGGGAACTTTAAAAACTTTATCATATACTAACACAAAGAAACTGAAATCTCGACCTCTAAGTATCTAGTAAAATTGGGACATACCAAAAACTAACGAAAGATTACTTTAACTTGCCATTATTCAAATGAATTTCACATGTGATTTGAACGAGTTTAGGTTGTTCGAATGAAATCAAACTATCTATTTTCATTAAAACAAATTATATCAAAATATATTTAGGAATAAAAAAATAATTTAAAAGTAACCTTTTTAAGCATACTCGTGCTCATTTTGAGCTCACATATGTTGTCCTAAGGACCAAAACATTTTGTTTCCAAAAATATAATTTTAATGCACCGACACCATCTCTTCTTAACAAATAAGAAGATTCTAAACGATATACCGACGTATCAAAAATATGTTGACATCTTCTTATTTGCTAAAATGTAATGTGTTTAGATGTCAAAAATTTATGAGGACAACGGATATCGACTACGTGCTCACCCGTGGCACTTTTCATTTTCATTTATTTGTATTTCTCTCTTTATAATAGTACTTGGAATAGAGCTCTAAATAATACTAATAATAATAATAATAATAATAATAATAATAGTAAAAGGCAATTCACTATGGTCCAGTCTGACTGCATGCATTGAAAGTTTACTACATCAAATAAAGTCAAAACTAAAATTAAAAAAAAAAAAAAAAAAATTGTGTCCCATAGATGATAGATCCCCTGCGTGAATCTCTCTCCATATAGACAGCCTTCAACACCATTTCTCTCTCTTACATTGCTATATTGTGTCGATTCTCATCAGGTTCGTTCCTTTTTTCTCCTCCTTTTCAATAATTTAATCGTAATAATGGGTTCTCAATCTCTGAATTCTTATTTTTTTCTTGACTGATTTATTTTTATTAACTATCTATGTTAGTTCAGCTCCACTTCTCCGTTTTTCGTTGTGGTGTTCGATTCTTTTTCGGATTTTCGTTACTGGATCTTGGATTTTATTTATTATTTATTTATTTATTTATTTATTTCTGTTTACTGGGTATTTTTATATTATTGTGTCGGTTTGTCGTTATGATCATTATAAGCACCAGCATTTTAAGGTGTGAATTGTTGAATTGATGAAAATGAAATTTAGAAATTTGTGTTGATATCTTTATAGTTGAGATGTACAATGCATTTTTTTTTTTTTTCTAAGACACAAATATTACCGCGGAAATAAAAGTACAAAGAAAAAGAAGAAAGTGTTTCCCTATTTTGTGATTGATGATTATTTACTTTTTGGCAGTGTGTGCAGTAATTTGAAAGAGGATTTACTGGTTTGGCCGCTTCCTGAACCTGAGCTGAAATGAAAAAGGCTTTTGATCAAACTGTTCGCGACATGTAAGTTTGATTTAGTTTTATTTGTAAGGATTTCCTTTTTTTTTTTTTTTTTTTTTTTTGTTTTTAATTCTAACTATTTTTTCAAGACCCCTTTTTGGCGTCAATACCGAGCTAGCTTTATCAATTTTTACCGTCTTCTTGCAGTAAGAGAGAGGTTAACAAGAAAGTTCTTAAAGTCCCTTCGATGGAGCAGAAGGTAATTGTGCCCTGCAACTCCAGCCTCATCTTAGTTTTTTTATTTATTTCTTAATTCAATTGACCTCGTGAACGTAATGTTCTAGTTATATACTGAAGCTCAAGTTTAGGTGCTTAAGATTCGTAGAATAAGCAGCTATTTTTCATAAAAAAATTTCATGTAGTATGCGATTTTCTGTTTTCAGGTTCTTGATGCAACAAGCAATGAGCCTTGGGGTCCTCATGGATCACTTCTTGCTGATATTGCACAGGCCTCTAGAAACTAGTATGTCCAAATGGATCATCTGAAATTTACTAGTCTATTTTTTTTCATCTAGCAATAACTCATTTTCTATTTCAACAGTCACGAGTATCAGGTGATCATGGCAGTAATCTGGAAGCGCATAAATGATACTGGTAAAAATTGGCGGCATGTCTATAAGGTTTTTGTTTCTTCCTTGAAAATTCATACATGTTTTAATATTTGCTGCAACTGCGCCATGTTTATTATGAAACCATTTTGATTTGAATTTCTTTCTAATTGTTGAGTGTAGCCTCTAGTTCTCTTGGTTTCGTTATGTTGAATTATGGTATTGCTATCTATATCCCCTGACTTTGTGTTGAAAACTACCTGTTGCGTTTTCCAGGCTTTGACAGTTTTGGACTACATGGTAGCCCATGGATCAGAGCGTGTCATCGATGAGATTAGAGAACATGCATATCAGATATCGGTAGTCTCTATACGACCTTTTCTAATATTTTCTGGGAAGTTTCAGTTTAATTGGTGACTGGTGGCATTTAAAAGATTTTCTTGGTTTGATAGACACTATCCGATTTTCAATACATCGATTCAAGTGGGAGGGATCAGGGAAACAATGTCAGGAAGAAATCTCAGAATATTGTGGTGCTTGTAAATGACAAAGAAAGGATACAAGAAGTTCGTCAAAAAGCTGCTGCTAACAGGGACAAGTAAGTGGACCACATTAGATTTCTGATAGAACTGGTCATGAGAATTCCTTTCTTACAGCATGAAAGTATCGACACATGTAGTTACCAACTAGTTCATTCTCATGAATGTTTGCCTTTGGCTTAATTTGTCTGTAGTTGAAAGATTACATGTAGAGAGCCATGGATGACACTGGGTTTCCAAATTGCACTTTCATTAAATCCTTGTGTTTGGCTCTAACTTGATCCAATTGTCATTTATTCACATTCTTTGGTTTATGTTGAGAATCTGTTCATGTACATACTATCTTTGTTTTTGAATCCACAGATGATTTTTCTACTATGTGCTACCATATGGATATCCTAAATTACTAATCCGTCATTACATTTAAGCTCTAGAATCGACTCATGACTTCACGTTTAGTTTGTGGGTTGAGCCAAGGATTTGAGAACTATTTTCTAGGAGAACAAGTGATTAAAAATGAATCCCAAAAAAAAAAAGAGTCTTTAGACAATGAGACTCAAACACGAACTTAATCATGTACATACTCAAGTTAGGAAAATCAATAATATTTCTTGAAAGATATAAAAATTCAAATACATGCTTATTATAAAACCATAAACCAACTTGAAAATCCATAATAAAAAAATTACACAAGAGTCCAACTTGCAAACACACTTAAAATAGATTAACACAGTAATAATAGATAATAATATATGTAAACTAAATATAAATTATATAATAAAGTAAGAGTTAATTTCGCTGATGGTCATTGTTCAAGAAAAATTTCAAATTGGTAATTAAAGTATTTTGTGATCCATTTAATCTTTGAATTTAAATAATATAACATTATTGATCACTATGTCAGCCTGGTTAATTCCATTTATGGTGTAGTAGCGGTTAAACCTTCAGGTGAACTAACTGTAGCTAAGGTGATCGATTCCGGTTGGCCTCCTTTTTTAGATGTGTCATGATACAATTTCCTAATGATGAAAAAAATGAGTTAAAGCGAGTAATTTGATATTCTTTGGTTGAACATTAGGTTTTTCCTCATAAGAACCGTGTTTTATTTTGAGATTTGTAATTTCAGGCTTGGACACTGATGTCAAGGTTTAACGGATCAATGTCAGATGCAGTAGGTGACTAAATAGGACATAATAATAAATAATCATAATAAAAAAATAATAAATAATAATAATAATAATAATAATACCTGTTTGAAATTTTACTTAAACTTTATTGACAGTTTGTGAAATAAACTCAATGAAGTAGTAATGAAGTAATAAGTTATCAAATTAGTAATAGCTAAACTGTAATCTACTCCAAGAAGTAGAAGCAATATAGAGACACATATAATCACTATTTATAGGAGAATAATGAATATATTGTATTCTCTTATCATCCTCCTCATCACTATCTGCTTTTTCTCGGTCTTTGTTCCCTTCTTTCACTTGCAATGCTGTCTCCCCCTCCTTGTTCCCTTTCCCTTCTTCCTTGTGAAAGCAGAAAAATAAAATAAAGAAATCCGTATGCTGTTTCAGGCTATAAAAAATAGCTCAAAAGGCTGAGGCATGAAATGAAAAGCCCATGAAAGGCAAGAGAAATGAGCATGCAACTCAGTCTTTTTGACGCTTAGCCTTGAGGCTTAAGCCTTATAGCACATGTCCTTAAATTGAGGTACAAGTCTGAATTACAAGGCATTTAATGAAAGTCTCCCGTGAAGTGCCCTTCAACATATAAGCCTTGGACAACCTTTTAAACCAATGGTATACTATCTTGAAAGGCCAATAAAAGGCATCGGTGCTGGGTGTATAAAAAATAAGCAACAAAATAATTAAAAAAGGTAGGGAAGGCAAAGTGCAGACTGTTAACTGTTGTTGATGTTGGTAATGTTGACTGCTATTGTTGCTGTTGTCGTTGTTTCTTTGTGTTTAACTTTACAATATCAAAAATAATAGAAGATCCATAGCTTCTTGTGAACATCTCCTTTACACTCGTCACCTTGACTGGTCATCTATAAAGTTACATTTTCCCCCCTTTTTAATTGTTATATAATGGTTTTTAAAATTAGTATGTGCTTGTTTAGTGGGAGAAGATCAGTTTGTGTATTACTGCAATCAATTTATACCTGATGGTTGTGAAATTGATTTTGGAACTTGGGGATATTCGTCCCTAAATAGTATGGAGAATAACAGAACATATTCAAATGTTCAGAAGCTTGGTAAACTTCATTATGTATGTTTTTATCTTGGTTTCCCTTCACTGTTGGACAATCTTCACTGGCATTATTATTTATTGTCCTAAGAGTTTATTCTTTACTCTGATCATGAAGCCCTCCGTTATCTCAATTCCCAACGTAATTTGAATGATTGATAAATTAAGTGGGTAGAGTTTCTTCAAGAGTATACATTTGTACTCCAACATCGAGCTGTGGTCGATAACAAAGCAGCTAATGCTCTTAGCCGTATTACTATTGTACTCCAGACTATGAGTACTATGGTGGTGGGTTTTGAGCGTTTGAAAGATGATTATCCCAATTGTCCCAACTTCGGTATCATTTTTCAAGACTTTGTAACTAATTCCTCTCGTAATCATGTGGCTTTCCTACTTAAAGAGGGTTATCTTTTTAAAGGTAACAAGTTGTGTATCCCTCTACCTCACTTTGTGAGTTCTTTATTTGGGAACTACATGCAGGTGGTCTTGCAGGTCACTTTAGTCGAGATAAAACTGTTGCCTTAGTTGAAGATAGGTTTCATTGGCCGTCCCTTAAAAAGGATATGGCTCGCATTGTGTCTCAGTGTCGCACTTGTCAATTAGGTAAGGCCTAGCGTCAAAACATGAGGATGTATACTCCCCTCCCCGTTCCTCTCACTCCTTGGCGTGACCTTAGCATGGACTTTGTCCTAGGGTTGCCTAAAACTGTAAGAGGTCATGATTCCATTTTCGTTGTCGTAGATAGATTCTCTAAGATGGCCCATTTCATTCCTTGTTCCAAGTCTACGGACGCATCACGTATCGCTAAGTTATTCTTCAAAGAGGTTGTTCGTCTGCACGGACTGTTAGTCAATATTGTTTCCAATCAAGACGTTAAATTTGTTAGTTACTTTTGAAAAACTCTGTGGAAATTGTTTGGAACAACTCTTAAGTTTTCATCAGCATTCCACCCCCAAACAGATGGTGATACAGAAGTAGTAAATCGTAGTTTCGGTAATTTGCTTCATTGTTTAGTTGGGCAAAAATCAGGTGATTGGGATTTAGTATTGCCTACCGCTGAATTTGCATACAATAATTCTGTCAATAGGTATACCGGTCATAGCCCATTTGAGATTGTTCAAGGTTTCTCCCGATGTCAACCACTAGATCTTGTTCCGTTATCTACTGATTTTTGTACTGCTGCATCTGCTCAATCTTTTGCTGATCATATTCGTACCTTGCATGATGAGATTAAAAGAAAAATTGCTTCAAGTAATGACCAGTATAAACTAACAGCTGATGCACATTGTAGGCATAGATAGTTCAAGATTGATGATTTTGTTATGATAAGACTTGCACTTGAACGTTTTCCAAAACACACTGCAAAAAAAATTTGTGCCTGAAAACTTGGCCCTTTCCCTGTTATTAAAAGGCTTGGAACTAATGCTTATTTACTTGATTTACCGACGCACTTAAATATTAGTCCTGTTTTCAATATAGCAGATTTATATCCTCATCGAGGCACATTCGAGCCTCCGGTTTTATCTTCTAACATGTCTGGACATCAAGTTTTTCAATCGCTCCCTCGAGGCCCTATCACCACATTCTCACATTAGGATATTATTGATGAGGTGCTCAATGATGAGATCATTGCTTCCCAAAATGGGGGTATTCATAGGTTCCTTGTGCGTTGGAAAGGTCGTCCATTTAGTGATGCTACTTGGATTAATGAAGAAGAATTTCGCCAACTGGATCCAAAGCTTTTGGATGCTTACTTGGACTATACCTCGCCAGAGTCGAGTTCTTCTTAGCCGGGGAGGAATGATGCAACAAGGAAACAATAATCAAAAGTCTATTCAAAGCGAAAGACTAATAATTAGTAGAATTCGAGTTTATCTAGTTTATAGTAGTTTTATTTTGAGAATGTTATCTTTTATTTTCAAGTTTGTTCAGATAGGAAGTTTATTTTATTTAATTTCAAAGTCCTTCCTATATAAATGGACTTAGGACAATGTTTACAGACACACTTGAATTATATGAATAATAGTATTTCTCTTGCCCTTAATTCTTCCCTTTGATCTCCGTTATTTTTTGTTGTTCTTTATCAATTTATATGCTTCTGCATCACTTACTCTCTAACTTTTGTTTCAAATTTAAACCTTCGTTGGCTTTCTTTCCCTATGAGTTTGGTATGCTTGGCATAACCAAACAAATGCTAGGTACTCATTTCTTGCTTATAGTTTGAAATGCATGAATCTCCTGATAGGTACCGCAATACATCAATGGGTAGCCAGCCTGGTTCTTATTCAAGCTCAGTAGGCTATGGTGACAGATATGATTATGAAGGCCGGTATGGAAGCAAAAATGATGACTACAATGGCTATGAGAGAGAAAGAGAATTAAGCTACAGAAATGATGACGATTATCAGTATGGTTCGAGTAGAAGTGCTGATCGAGATAGGGACCATGCATATGAAGATGATGGCCAATATTCTTCCAGGTTTGCCTATTTTCTATTTTCTTAAAGCCAAATCAACAAGTGGTGAATTCTTCATGATACTTTTTTTATTTGTTTACAGAAATTTTTCTCAGAAGGTATGTTCTAGTTCTGTTGATTTTTATGGTGAAGTGGATAACTAGATGATTACTTCATAAACATGATGGTTCATGGTCATTTCTTTTTAAGCCCCTGTTTGGTGTAAAATAAAATCAGATTTTTAGTAAATTTGGATAAATGTCAATGAAATATGCGGTTAAAAAGTTGTGAATCTCATGAAATATGTGGTTAAAATTAATTGGTGAATTTGACTTGAGATTAAAATTAGATTTTAATAATACGAAACAGGGGCCAAGTGTAAAAAATTTGAAAAGAACAAATCCATGCATTTAATGCTGAACTAACTTCTGCCAAATGAAACTTTGCAAGCAGAGGAGTTGTTTGATCTTCTACTTTTCTGTTGTATGTTATCATGTAATGTGTGTTTAGATTGTTTGACTTCTTATTACATTTCACTGTGAAAATCATCCTACAACATAGAAAATACCATAAGATCTGATTATCATTCTCAAGATGGATGGTACTTCTAGAGAACCTGTTGCCACATTATTGATGTTAACACTGTGGCCTTCATATATATAATAATCGAATATTGTTTTGATTTATGACAATTTTTGCAATGCAATGCTAGGGGCAGGAGTGTTGACCATAAATATTCTGAACAAAACCTTGGTGATCCTCCACGTTATGAGGAGGAGACCGCTGGTAATGTAAGCAGTCCCTTACACGGTGAAAGGTAAGAAGCTTGTATCTGCCACCTAGCTTCTGCTTGAATATACTCTAAATTGTTTCTAACGTCCTATTACCCCACAGGGATAGAGAAACATCACTAGCATCTGCTCCTAAAGCATCCTCTCCTCCTGCAAGTGCTAATCCAAGCCATGTGACAAGTGCAGCTGCTCGACCCCCAGTGCTTGCTCCACCACCTGCTCCAGCTCCAGCTAATGAAAATGGTTTTGATGAATTTGATCCGCGTGGTTCATTTTCAGGTAGAGGATTTTTAATGCTGTGTTAGCCGCTGAAATTAGATTGTGTGATATTGAGTTATTTTATGTGAATTTTACATGGCATCTCATCGCAAGCGCTGTACAACCATCAATATAAAAGAAGGTTAGAGGAAAGTGTTTGTTTTGGTTTTGAGAGAAACTATCCCATGTCAATTATTTATTTATTTTATTTTTATTTTTATTTTTTTGAGTTTTGAAGATTCATCTTTTTATTATTTGTAGGGAATTAACAATCAGTCAATCACCCTGTCTTACCTCAGATGAATAAATTAGTTTCTTCCTTTTTGGTTCTTAATGACATACACATGTAGTTCTTGATATGTTTTGAAGTATTCGTTTTTTTTTTCCTATTTTGATAGCTGTTCCTTCTAAATCAAATGATTCTCCATCTGCTTCTGGTGGCGTGGAAATGAATATACATGGTTCTTTGTCTGAGTCATTTTCTTCGAACGCATTAGCTCTCAAGCCTGCCGCATCGTCAACCAGAAACTCTGAGGCTAATACCTCAGGAAACTCCAGTGGTGCACCAGCACCTGCTGGTACATTGTTAGCATCAACTATTTCTAATCAGGTAATTTTATGTGATGATTTTTCATAACACCAAAACCTGAACTGATTTTAAAATCGATCTAATGTCCTTCCTGTCCCAAAATTCCTTCATATCAAACGGCCAGTATGCTTGAATTGTACCATCACTATGAGAATGAACTTGTGGTACATTGGAAACTTGTCTGAAATAAAGCGTTTGATGGGTCGTTAATCACATTTTAAGCAGTTAATATTCTAAATCATTTACAGAATATTAGATGCTCGCTGTATCCCTCTTTTTAACTTTTTGCTACCTCTAAAATTCATTCTCTTTGGTACCTCCTGACCCTTCTATTTCTCTGAGACAGACAATATCATGAACAAAAACATACAGATCCGTGGTAAAAATGGGAAGTAAGTTATGAGGCTAGCCAATTGAACTAAGATAGTACAGTACAACTTGCTGTTTCTTATATGAATTTGGCTGCCTACTTTTCCTGCCCTCATTTCATTGATTCCTTATGTTAATAATATAGTGTAACTTTAGAGTTAAAATATGTGGTTTCGTTTGCAGCCATTTGATGATCCATTTGGAGATGGCCCTTTTAAAGCATTTCCTTCTCAAGATAGTTTACCAGCCCAACAACAGCTAATAACCTCTGCAAATTCCTTCAATTCAAGCTCTAATCAAAGTTCTGATCTGCCACAGCCAGTTTCTCGAAAAGAAACAACTGAGTTTGGAGGTACTTTTCCTGGTACAACATACATGCCATCAGATCCTTCCGGTATGCAACTTCCTGCAATTCCACAATCTTCACAACAAGAGGTGTCCACCATTGATATATTAGCAGATATTTTCCCACAATCCGAATCTTCTCCTTTTCTCAATTCACAAACTAGTAATCCAGTTCTACCCAGCCAACCTGTCCAGCATATAGGGTTTTCACCTCAATCCTATCAACCCGCTTTGCAGTCAGGTATGCTGTACCAAACTGGCAAGACTGCACCCCAAGCTCAAACTAGCCAGCCTGCAGGTATTCCTGCTCAACAAAGCCAGCCTTCATCTCAAATGGGTTTTCCAACTCATAGCAGTCAACCTGTGTCGCTTGGAGAGTTACCATCTCAAACAGGTTCTCCACAGGCTGGTTTTCAGGCTCCTAGAGGCCAGCCTGTACCTCTAAATTCTAATATCTATGGGGGCTATCACCCACAGTCTATATCTACTGGTCCAGCTGCTGTGCAAATGGTTCCCCAAATTTCCAGTGGACCTGTTGCACAAAATAGCTTCATTTCACAGTCTGGTTCTGCAACTCTGCCATCTTTAATGGCTTCTTCTGCAATAGTTCCTCAACCATCTAAAGACAAGTTTGAGACAAAATCCACTGTTTGGGCTGACACATTGAGCCGTGGACTGGTCAATTTGAATATATCTGGATGTGAGTTCTTGTACCAGTCTAATGGTTCTAATGCATGTTATATCTTCTTCGCCACACAATTGACGTTACTATTCTTTTGCATGTGCAGCGAAAACTAATTCGTTGGCTGACATTGGAGTCGATTTTGATGCCCTAAATCGCAAGGAGAAGAGGATGGAAAAACCTGCAACTGCTATGGCAGTATCCAATGTAACCATGGGTCAAGCTATGGGATCTGGTTCTGGAATTGGCCGTGCTGGTGCTCTCGGGCCTCCATCAAACCCAATGATGGGTTCAGGTATGGGCATGGGAGGTTATGGAGGAGGAAACCAACCTATGAGTATTAGGATGGGGATGAATACGCCAGGAAATATGGGAATAGGAATGAACATAAGCATGGGTCGAGGAGTTCAGATGCAACAGCAGACGGGTTTTCCTCCAGGATCTACTATGTCTGGAGGTTATAATCCCATAATGGGACCCAGTAATTATGGTCAACAACCATATGGTGGTGGCTATCGGTGAGTTGAGGAAATTTATATCACTGCAAGTTGATTGAGAAAGCTGTAATTGCAAGTTGTGTTATAGAAAAATGAGTTGCCCCTGAAATCGATATTAGATTCAGACCCAATTTGATGTTCAGGGGGATAGACACATAGCATGCATGTGTATTCATACAAACAATTTTTAAAACCTTTTTTTTTTTTTTTTTTTCTGGTGAAAGTGAGTTGTATAGGTGCCCCCGTTGTTCTTTTAGCCCTACACAGTTGAGGATGACCTTTCTCAGGTTGCCTCTGAGACATCCATGTCTAAATATATATTTGTGATTGGCCGGGCCATTCTTGAAATATGGTACTTGTGTTGTGGATGCTTCAATAATTTTTTTTCTTTTTCCCCTCATTCAGTTTTGCATGGTTCAAGAATGCGTAAATTGGCAATTGATGGATGGGGCCATTTTGAGGTAGAGGTGTAAAGATGGTCGGGTCTACTAAATTTGAGGTGCCCGCCCCTCCTTGCCTAAAAACTGAGTCGGGTTGGGGTCTTTAGGCATGCAGCCTATGACATGCTAAACAAGAATATAATCTACCTTACAAAACACGTAAGATATTGCTCAAAGGTTAAAATATAGCGACTCTTTTAACAGTTTTCTGGAAGCTTTTGAAAGTCCAGTGGTGCTCGATTTAGATATATTGGAAAGGTATTCCACAAGTACATAGATTTCGAAAAGTTACCATATCATCTACTCCAGAAAGACTTGAATCCGATCGCCCATGGTATCATTGAAATCTAATAACTGCTTGCCTCCCACTTCTGAAGCTGCATCATCAAGTAATGCCTTTATGTTTATGCCCCCTAAAGCTGCGGACAAAGAATATATTAAACGTTTCAGAAATATTTGTGGTGGCTGACTTATGACAAATATAGTCGAGTTCATTTACGACCCAATACCTGGTACTATATTCGTGATTCCATCCAAAAACCCAGCCTGAAAGAACGAAGCAGTAAGAAATTTTTCAAGTAAAAAGAATAATAATAACAAAATTCAAGTAAATAGAACACCCATTTATACATGAATATGGATCTCATAACATAAAGAAAACTATTTTCTGCATTTCTGTTAAATAAACAACGGACCTAGTAGGAACATACTTGCCAAGGAGAATACTCAATCA